TTTGTTTTTAATAGTCTGCTAAGCTAAAAAAAAATTAGATTTTAGTGGTTTTACTATGATATTATACAATATACAGTAATTTATAAAAGACTCACGTTAACATTATAGGTAGTTTCCTCACATTGAATTTTACACATCTTCACTTGCATTGTGTGATGTCAAAAATCGTAATATACAATATTCTGATACTAATAACTACTTTCATAAGATAATATATTATAAATTATAATATATATTTTATAACTGGTTGTGCTGGCTATACTGCAACAAAAACAATGCATTATTGCTCAATTAAATCACCATTCATAAATTAATTTGTATTTAACTACCAGGAAAATTCATTTAAGTAAAAAACGGAAATAAAAAGTAGAATAAACAATGTCACAAAAAAAAAAAAAAATGAACAATAACTAAAAAAATATTTACACAAATGTATGATAAATATGGGGGTCACTTCATTGTTTAATCATAAGATAAATGTTGTTACATAATATGTACTATATGTACTAATATGTAATATACCTGTACCTATTGTACCTATAACCAGTATAACCCATACCTATATACCTATATACCTGTATACCTATATACCTATATACCTATATACCTATATACCTATATACCTATATACATATATACCTATTACCTATATACCTATACATTATTACTAAGAACACAGGTCTTACACGTCTTAATCTTATTGGACTTGAGAACCATTTCGGTGATGCACGATTGCGGACGGTATCTATCAGGGCGACCTTTTTAATAACATGATTACGAACGTTTAAAATTCAACAGTGGACCCCCGAAAATGACACAATTGTGGCACATTTTGCCAAATGTATATATAATGCTTCGATGATCTGGGAATTTGGGAATTCTGAATGTATTAATTGAAGTATGTTAAAGTAATTTCTGTTATATTTCTGACAATAATTTCATCAATAATCAAAGTTCGAGAAAAATCGGTGGAAAAAAAAGATTAAGATAGAATTAAATTAACTATTCAGAGCTATAAAGATTATAAAAATCACCAAAACGTATTTAAGTATTTAAAAACAATTTGTTCTCATTAAAGAGAAAAATTAGTATAAAATTAATGATGGTTGTAGGTGGACTACGACGCACAACTTGGCAATGTTTCACCAAATTTTGACCGGAATCGTATAATTTTTTGAGTACAAAATTGAAAATAATACCTTTTGCGTTACAGTGATCATCCTCAATCGGATCGCAAAAAAGGTAAAGCATCCTCAATCGCATTTCACCCATTAATTATGAATTATTTTTTGCGAACCATTGTATTATAAATTTGTTTGAGAAAAAAATGCTCATCAATATATACTATTTTTATACATTTTTAATCTATTTTGCATTTTTAGAATTATTTTTTATAATTATTAAAAGTATTTCTTGGCTCAATACAATATTATCCAACTGTGAACTGTTATCAATATTTCGTGAGTTTGAACATGAAAAGTTCTATAATATACAATCAATCTTATATTATCATTATTATTGACTAATATTAAGGATTTTTTTTTAAAATGTAAACTATAGTTCAAAATATTTTTATATTGTTCAACATACATTTTTATTAATACATATTTTAGATTGTATGTTAATGATAATTGAAAATTGAAATAATATTCAAAAGCTTTTTGTTTTCATGGTGTTGAAAAAAAGTTGTTATTTAGAATTAATTTAAATATTTCTTTAAAACAAAGAGGTTTACATTTTAAATAATAAGTTTCAAGGCGTAGTCGTAAATTCTGTCTTTGCTATTGTCTTTTGTACATTGTTATACTTATTTTTTTAACAAAAAAACTGAAGGTTTTGTTTGACAAATCGATATTCAAATACAACGCATACATAACACGTATTTTTCTTTTGATACAAAACTACATTCCTTAAAATGCTAACAGTTCAAGACTCAAATTCTGAGTTTTTACTATTATACTATTGATCGAATAGAAATATATTTAACACGTTCAGCAGGTAAATAAATCTAATATATACATTTATATATAGATATATTATGTACATTATGTGTTCAGTAATAATAATACAAACATTGGCTTTGGTTTGTTCAATTTAAATATTTAAGAATAAAAATGTCAAACTGACATGTTTCTTTAGTATTATATATTTGAATAGCCCACCCGATAGGAACATTATATATTATACTATTAGTATACGGCCTAATGCAAAATATGTATGGTATTATTTTTTTAATGTGAGTGTCTGTGAAAATAATATAATAACACAATTTTTTTTTAGTTGGTAATAGATCACAATATGTCAATATAATTTATTCATACAAGTATACAACTAGCCAATAGGTTAACTACCCATATATATATATATATATATATATATAAATGTGTGCCTGTGTTGGTATATTTTGGTATAATATTTGAATTTAACTTTCGTAATTAATAGATATACATTTTAAACCTATAAGTTATAACTTATATAATATTATTGTATGTTTATACCTACTACCTAGTGTCTATATAGTGGAGTTACATTTAAGAAAAAACCATCAGCAGGTTCCTAATTAAAATTATGAGCTAAAGACGACTTTTTCTACCTTTCTCAATGGACACAATTTTGTAAGGTAAAAAAATCTAAAAATAATTGATTATATGAAAAAATAAAATTATTTTTTTAAGTATAATTGTAAATTTAAAATATTACTTATAATTAAATATTTGTATTGATAATAAGTATGTTGAATATTTTATACTTGTACGTTGATTTAAGATATTTATGAATCTAGATTAGTATACAGTATACTTTATTTTTTGAAATTTAAAAGTGATCAAAATTCGAAAGCACAAATAATGAACTCAAACCAAATCAAATGTAATATATAGGTTCATAAATCATAATTGGCAATTTGCAAACGTGCGAATCAAATTTTTAGGATATTTTAAGGTCATAAGATTAATTAATTGTCCTACTCTCAAACCAATGTTCAACTGAAATGTCAATTCTTAACATTATCATATCTTGATTTTAGCCAGAATCATTTTTAGATTAAAATACAGTAATTAAGGCGTCTATCGTCTTACTGACAATCAAATATTTTTTTGCAAATTATTAATGAATAAACATTTATTTGTGATAGATATTCGAAGAAACTAAAAGTATAATTTATATCTAAGTCACTATACCTACCTACTGTACACACACACAATAATATGTTCAATAAGAAAACATTATCTATAGTACTATAGTAAATTTCTATTTAAATAGTAGATCAGCAAGAATGGAGGTATAATCTATGTACTTAAAACTAAAAAGTACTAGTGGCCAGAGGGCAACTTTTCACATAATATGTAAATAAGGCATCTTATGAACCCGCATTATGAAAAATGTAGTTTTAATTTAAATTATTATGTAATTACTATAATTACCCTTATAATTTTTCATTTAAGTTTTATCTTTATTTGTACATGAGCCAACCAGGCAATGCAAAAGGTATGTTCGTTATCACAAAATCTATAATGGGTATTTTGACATTGGTAGTTCTACTGTCGTCTTTACTACTGAACAAATCTCAAGACCTGTAATCGACCATGTTTTTTTTTTTGTTGACAAAATCAGATTACCTTTTGCAACTGGTCTACTCGTTTGAAATATTTATTTTGTATTTTCCGTTTCAATATTTTAAATACTGAAGATTAGTAAAGATATTAATATACTTTCCCCTTTGGCAACTGTGGCAACCCTCGTCAAAATACTTTCTAAAACTATATCATCCTTACTATAATAAGTAAATTAACAAAGACACCTGCTAACATTGTATTATATTTTTTATTCATATTATATTTCCGAAATTTAATTACTAATTTCTAATATACAGTATAATTATAGATTCCCCGAATGTTCTCTCAAACTTTAGCTCGTGCGGTATCAATCCAAGATCTCAATTAAATATTAAGTTCTATAATTACAGTTACTGAGTTGTAGTCGATTAATATAATTCTTTCAATATATGCGTAGTGGAAAAGTTGTGAAAAATGCACTATTAAATCATTTTAGAGTAAACAAATAATAAGACATACTTATATATTATGTATTATATACATACCTATATGTTACGTGCCACAACTCATAAGTATATAAAGTCACTATCATTGGTCTTTGTGAGAAGTGCCCGGGTAATGTGCACAATGCCCTAGATTTAAACTGACGTATACCTCTATGCTAAGTAAGAAAATGTCTTTATTTTCTCAAAGAGCCAGGTCATTTTGTACAATGTTCAAGTGGTTTTGAGCAATGTGAAGATCACAGGTATATTATATAAGCACATTGAAAAATTATGAAAAAAAATACATTTAACTATCAAATATAATGAACTAATAGTTAATACTTTTATTTATTTACTGGAACATTGATTATTATTTTCCCTCGTGACACTTTGAGTTACATCATTATCCATTACTCTTACATTATTGCAGAGGAAACCGATCATTACAGCTTTGAGTATAAGAATTAAAAACATGGTCATATATGATCACATATCCCATGACCTCCGTGATTTTAAACAGCCTATTTTATTTAAGACTATATAGCTTTTAGCAGGAATATAATATTATTATCCTATAATAGTATCTACATTAAGCGTAATAACTCAGAAACTACTCGTTAAAATTTCTATTTGGATGTTATAATAAATTTTAATAAACATTCGTTTCAATATGTTTAAATTTAACTTAAAATACGTATATCTAAGCTCTATTTAGTTAAAAATTGTATATACACTATATACACAACACTATACCTACATTATATTAATGTGAATAACGTATAATAGTATAAATATATATGTTTACAGTATATATACATATATGTAGATATTGTAGCTATATGTAGACGATATTACAGTAATTTTCTACTAATTATTTAATAGCGCGATTAGCCTAGATGTACTCACTCGCAGAGAGCAAATAACGCATGTGAATGAGTGAAAAAAGTTCAAAACAATTTACCTTAATGTTCTTGATGTACGTAGTCGGAAAACCGCACAACTCGAAACGGTTTTCTTGGATCATATCTGCAGTCGGGCTGTACGTGTATTCGAACCAGTGGACAGTATATATATAATATAGATAGTACTCTATATTATATTATAAGACGTTAAGATAAATCCGAAGAAAATCCGCACCGTCAGATGACCACTGCAGCTGAGAGTGCACCGCGTCTCTCCGACCTCGCTTTCAAAAGAGTTTTCGAAACATTTCCGTAAAATCACGACGGGAAATAAGATTTTGGGTGCAAAAAAACGGAAAAAACCCGCACGCGTCTATGCCGTATAATAAAATTATTTGCGTGAAAAAAATTACGCCTTCGTCTGTATCATATGCCTACGATGATGGTCCCGCCGCCGCCGCCGTCGCCACTGCACTACGCCGGTACGGCGAACACGCTGTTACAATTGTTTACAGTATTATAATAAAAACTTGGTTGATCGTATAACAATAAATATGATACAATATTACAAATTTTCGCACAGAATATTAATAATATTATACGCTTTTAAATGTACACGAAGGAGCGCGCACTGCCGCCACCGATGTGTGTGTGGGCCGTTCGCCGCGGAGCGATCCAAACTGACGGGCGGCAGAGATGACCACGGCGCCCGCGTAGCGGACGCGGGCCATGGATTCTGCGCGCGTTCCGTTCGGTGGGCGGGCGTTAGCGGACGGGGATCGCCGCCGATTGGTCGGAGGGGAGTGGTCTCGGTCCGCTCCGTCTACCACGCCCCGCGAGCCGGCAAAGGATCCGGAACCGATATATATATATGTACATAGGTATATACAGGTATTATAAGGTATATATATAGCAACTATTATTACTATTATTGTATATAGATGAGGTAGGTAGGTACCGTACGAATTTTTTTCTTTTTCGTTTCCTCGTACATTCTTCCGACCGGACGCAGACGAAAATATTATTATTATTATTATTATTATTATTATTATCATTGCTTTTATTATATAATACCTATGTACATATATATATATATATATATATATATATGTATATTGGTATATGTACTATTTTAACGACTGGGCCAACAACCGCCTTTATTTTATTTATTTTTTTGCCGTTTTCTCTGTGTCTCCTGCACATCCGACCGTAATAGTCGCACATATAGGTACGTATGTTGTACGACATGAAGCTGCAAGTAACTGCGGTAAGGACTTATAGTAGGTGCTGGTATGTATGGGTACCTACGTCAGTCGTCACATTATAAACATATGGATATTAGGTGGTATAGGGTATGTATATATATATATTATTGTACACTACATATATATAATATATTATATATATACACATACCTGCGTATTGTGTGTCTTACGTATTGTATTTTCTTGGACCTGATCTGAGGGGGGGAATAAAAAACAAAACGACAACAAAAAATATAAAAGCCCCATCGAGCATATGCAGCAGGGACGATCGTTTATTATGTATATAATATATATATAATATATATATATATAATATATATATATAAGTATACAACACATAAGCTGCAGTGTTTACGCGAGACAAGATGACGTGTAATGTATTTTGTACACACGCACCTCCCTCGCCCCTCGTCACGCCTATATAAATAATAATAATAGTAATAATATTATTGTATTACGTGCCCATGTGTGTTTTACGAAGTCAGAGAACAAACAAATACATGTAGAATAAAGTATATATAAATATATAAGTAACAGCAGTGTCATCGTATGTATGAAGAAGAGCGTATTATATTACGGCCGTTACGGTTTTCGAGTTTATTGGATTACATAAAATAATATTATACAGAAGTGTGCACGCGTATGTACATCATAAAATGGGAAATATTATAAACTATATAATATTATATAGGTAAAGCTAGTATATCGGCACGATTATTTCATGAACGCCTCCGACGGCGTCTACAGACATGTTCGATTGAGCTGGGTTGGGTGGGTTACTACAAAATACGGCACATGTATAATATATACTATCTGTATATAACCAGACTTCGCCCTTGAAAGATTAATAAATATAAAATACAAAGTGTATCGCTTGATTTTGGTGTACTCCTCGTACATCAGATTAAGGACAAATTGGCGCGACGTCACCGTCGTCGTCGGTGTACCTACCAATCGCTTTGTGAACAAATTTTGATGAACAATTTCTCAGGGACAGATTGCATATATTATAGCACTCGGTATATTTTCGAACGTGGTTCGAACTACGCCATAAACTTTCCTGATATATTTAAGAACAGTTTGAAATTTTCATAAATTCTAGCCGTTTTTAGTATAGGTATAAGCGGCAGACATAGGTATATACCTAGATTCAACTTTCATATTTGTTTTAAGATATAATTTCCTTATTCGAGGCCATAAACTTGACGATTTTATGCACGATTTTACCTAATCTGCCCAAGTCTCAACCACCATTGGCAACCATTTACAAACAAAACAAATAATGTTCGATTTTCATTGTGAATCTCAAAATCGTTGTGTGATCACTTTTTTTTAATGTGCATTTTGGGAAATCTTTTCTCAGTATACTTTATCTCTACAATGGTACCGGGGGTATCTATACAGTATACCATTAAAATTTCAAGTCTCTAGCTATCATGCGGTTTTAGGTCTATACGTTGATCAATCGTCATCGGTCAGTTCTGTAGCCTTCGTTTGATTCGTAATGATTCACATCTGTGCCCATACTAACTTGGACGTAACTACTGGAGACCCTCGTCCTTACTATATACACCACCATATGTATACTACCAGATTAGTACCTACTAACTATATATATATGGCTGTATAGGAATTCAAATACCTATAAAATATTGATATTTATTACACTTACCTATGCAGGACGAGATGAGAAGGATTCGCGAGTTCGGTTTTCAAAACGTCAGACTGTTTCGAGTAAACTCGCCACAGTGGAATAACAACAACTACAGTAGCAACGGCACAAGGACATCGCGATTTACCAAGTACAATATTATATTATAATATCGTATATTCGTATTAATATTATAATAATATGTAAAACTCTGTTTTCGATTATAATAAAGCACCGCACTGCACAGCTTCCGCAACACTCCCCGCAACCATATATATGTATATAATTTCACATCGGCACATCGTTTAGCTATTCTTATAATATATATATACCTATATTTGCTGTGTATACACAGGGACCTCTACCTACATCAACTATATGTGTATACACACAATATTTGATAATACATTCCCCTATAGTGTAAATAGTAAAAACGCGAAACGAATATTTGTTATTCAAATGTATATTTTTAGTATTTCAATCGTAAAAAATAATATTATATAGGTATATACGTCGTGATAACTGAACAATATAAAACAGTTACACGAATCGCTTTTTTAACATTTTGACGATCCGATTGTTGATTTGTGTGTCGTTTTGACACGAATAAATAAATTGAAATACAGCACGGCACACCCTTTATACCAAGTACCTATAATACATTATAAACAATAAATAATCTATCAGTATTCAAATTTACAAGAGGACAACGAAAAAAGCGTACATATTATAGGTACATATATTATTTAATTAACCACCTATATTATATTATATTATTATTTATTATTTATTATTATTATTTATACATGTACCTATACATATTATATATTAACATCGCATCATTTCATTGCAATAATCTACTGACAGAAAAGTATATATATATGAATGTATACACTATATATACATATATAATATTATTCAATATTATACCTGATGAATATATCAACGAATATTACTAAAATTAATTGAATTATACTGAACAGATTGAATAAGAACCATAACGATATAATTAATTATTATGAATTTATGAGTCCTAACAAATAAGTTTTTAAAAATACATTCCTGATTCCTACATAATATTTTATATGGTTCACGCAGTAATGTATATAAATAAAGTATACCTACCTATTAAAATTCAATTGAAGGAATAAAAAACTACAGCTACAGTATTCTATTTATACAGAAGTGCACAGCTCTTCCAAAATCTTTAAATCAGGCATTTATGCATATTATTTGACCATATAACAACGAATTGATATGATAGGTGCTACATGCAATAATATATTATATACTTAATTATATACCTACCTATATAATATGTTACATTGTTTTATACGTTTAATATATTATTATGATTACATTGTAATACGCAATGTGTATGGGCTCTACATAATTGTATACATCTATTATTTGACTATATATAGGTCCTACATAGGTACCTATAATATACCTTTATTACCATACCATTGTGCAAGCCTACAGTACACGAGTGTCTTACATCAATACCCATAAAATATAATCTAAAATATCCATGCTATGTATGCATATAGTACCCGATTATTTGGCGTGAAATTAAATCATATGTTGTTATTATTATATTTTTGACGCGTTAAACGCACATGCTCGCGGTGGTTAAACACAAATTGCACAGTGCAGTAAATGTGCATCGACACATGCATAAACGTATATACGGAATATAATGTCCCCTATACATCGTTTGGTCCCCGAGAAGCTGCAGCAGTGTAGTTTGTGGTGCTCTCTCGACGTGTTATTGAACGGTGAATAGCCGTTAAATGGGTCGACTGAGCCTCGGGGGAGACCGCGTGATCGTCTCTTACACGTATGACATACGAATCTCGCTGTCATTTATAAAAACATAGCGTTTGTTTACAGTCGCATATGCTTTTATAAATTTATTGTGACGATTTGTCGCGTTTCGGACGTTCGGACGACCATAATGAATAACAATATAATATTATACATCGGCTTATTAATAACGCATTTATAACGCGCACGTCCAAAGTAAACAGTTATAACTCATAAGGTATGAGTAATGCAATAATTTATGTGTTACGCTTTTTATCTGCTAACCCATATGATGGCCAATGGAGTGCCAATAAATAATATGATCCGGAAGTCTGATCGGACTATTAAAATATTTATTTAGCAGTATTGCATTTGAAACGTCACATTATAGTATTATACTCATATGAGTAATATTCATATATATAGTATTATGCAGTTAAGCTCAAATTGTAATGGTAGGTACCTGACTAATAATGGTAATAGAACTGCGTGCAGTACATATAATTACAGTATAGCTTCTAATCTGCACATTGTCATTTGTCTCACACAAAGTTAATTTGTACTATACATATTACATATATTGTATATATTAAGACATAGATGCATCATATTGGAGTATAATATAATAATTAATATTGAACTTCAAACGAAGAACCTATAGTATTCTGCGAAGTATACAATGGTACAAGTGTAGTTTTGTGTAGGTGCACGCAAGGTCAATACATTTTTGATTTAACATTAATTACAACATACAATGTCATGCCAAACCTTGTAATCAATAACAATATATTTTACCCTTGAGCTCGATTTGATTGGTTTTTATTTGAGGGATCTAGGGGTCAACTATTCTTACACAAAATGAGAAAATTAATATGTAAACATAAAATAAATTCCTGGCGGCCACTTATATATACCTTATATACCAAATACTTTAAAATAATA